CACAACTGAGAACGGGAAACCTACACAGAGGGTAATTAACACTGGTCAAAAAATCACTGGCTGTCCTCTGCCACCCCTGCAGGCCATTGCTAGCTCCTCCTGTCTCAGGAAAACCGGGGCCATCATAGTTGACCCCTTGCACCCTGCTTACCAAGTACTTGTTTCGCCTCTGGATGGCACCTCAGGTCAATCAGGTTCCTCAGGTCCAGACTCACAAACCGCTTCTTCCCCCGAGTCATTCGGCCTGCAAACAAACATCGATGAAGGAAATCTGTACAATCACAGTTTTTAGCCCAGGAGCATCTTACTGTGAGGGAACAGTGCAAAACTCTGCCTGCCTTTGGGAATGTCCTATTTACAGGGTTTGATACTTAGTGCTTTTTTACTGACTGAGCACCCAAACCCAACTTTTTCTACAATCCTCACCTTTGTCATCTGACCTGAGCAGGCAGGCTTTAGCACAACTGTGTAGCAAGTTTATTCTCATGTATCTCATGTATAGTCTGTACTTGGACAAGAAATCAAACATATCATTTAAAACCTGAACTAGCTGTGCCACAACCAACCAACATGTGAATGAGAATAATTAAAATTATACATGTAACATTTTGTATTTATGTAAGCTAGCTGATATAGTTGCTGAAACCATTAGTCTCTCCTCTTCCCATCTAATAATAATGTGTGTGTCTGTAGGTGAGCAAGTGAATCACACCCTATTAAAAGTATTAAGTGAAAGGATCATATTAACAGTCTCGTCTTTCAGCTTTAGTCTTGTCCAGCAGGCTGAATTGCCTGAAAGCTGATCTGAATCACAGCATGAGTGTGAAAACAGGCTGCATGAAGGACCACACACTTATGATTAAGCGTGTGTACAAGGAGGAACAGGAAATGGCTCGGCTATATTGTGTTATTCTGTTTGTGACATTAGTTTCAGACCGCATAGGCAAGCAGCCAAGCACACATGTAGTAAGAGAGGAATTACAAACCACAGTGCAGCAGGGTTGTGCATGGGCCTTTAACCAGCGACTTAAACAACTTTCATTCAGCCTCATTCAGCCTCACACCTTTCAAACATTAGGATCACTTGAAGAACAATGTCACTATAATTAATGCACAACCTCTGTGGTGCAGAGTAGAGAACTTGACATTAAACTAGTAGTTTAACTAGATATTTTAGTAGCTTGCCAGTAGTACACATTAGTATTAGCGAAGCGATTCAAGTAGTTATTTATTTTGCCTTATTTTTTTTAGTTAATTATGAAAATCACAAATAATTTGCACATAATGTGACCATTGGCTCTTGAATGTAACTGAAACCCTTTCACAAGTCTGCCCCACTTTAAACTTTGGGTCATAAACCAGTATGCTGTGAAGGCATGCACAGGCATTACATCGTTCAGACAGACAGACCATAGACAGAGGGTGGTTTATGGTTTTTGCTCACATACAAAAGATACTGAGCATAGCAGAAATACTGTTCTAGCAAACTTCATAGTCAAGATCAGCTAGCAACCCTGCAGACCAGCTGATTTCAGTCCCAATCCATTTTCCCAGTTTGCTCAACTGGTACTCTTCTGTGTGTCCTATTGCCAAATCCCAAATGGGATGTGCTATTTAAGTTGTTGTCCTTTGGACTACTTCAAACACTTTGTTCTCCAAAGTGCCTGCACAGATGGAGCACCCGTAATTTTGTTGTACATGCACAATGACAATAAATTGCTATTCTATTCTATTCTATTCTATTCTATTCTATACATATATATCTATATCTGATATGTATCTGTGTGTGTGTGTGTGTGTGTGTGTGTGTGTGCTTATTCCCAGCAGTAGGCCAACAGGCCTGCAGTATTTCACCTGCTGCGAATCCTCTACAAATGCACTTGTTACGCTTTGTGCAGTTGGTAAAGGACCTTGTTTTTAGGCCTGTGCAGAACCAGCAGTGTCTGTTTTCTGTGCAGGCAGGAGCAGCGGGCTGTAACTCTACTGCTATAGCAGCAGCAGATACTGAGCATGGCAGGTGTTTTCTCTGCACGATCCCAGAGGACACCATGGATATCCCCAGCTCCTCTAAGAAAACCTTCATGTGTATGTTCTTTGCTGGTTTCAGGAGGGATCCACAGCAGTCAACAGCATTGAAGGTGGAGACATCAATGCGATTGAAGAGCAGGTCAAGAGGCCACCATGTGGTCTGCCTCCTACAACTATAAACAAAAAAGAGAAGTTCCACGTATGATATCTCTTGGACATCCACATCACTTCATCCTGACACTCACTGAACGCCTCCTGTGTAGGCTTGTCTGTAACGGTCCGCTGTGACAGACCGTGCGGTGGTGTGAGTGGTGGACCCAGGTGCGAACACAAGTGAGCAGACGGGAGTGAACTTTAAACAAAAGCGAGCCTTTTATTGTGGCTGGTAACGCAAGAGAAACAAACAAGAATAAGGGCAGCACGAAAGCAATAACTAAACAGAAACCTAAACTGGGAATGAACTAAGGTAAGGCTATGACTTAGAATGCAACAGACCGGGCATGGAAACATGGAGGGTGGGAACACAGACGACGCAACACAGACTGTAAAAAACACAGAGACTAAATACACATGAGGGATGATCAGGGGAAGTGGCCACACATGGGAACGCAGCTGACACACATGAACCTAACGACAGGACAGGAGGAGTGAGCTGAATACACAGACAGGCCTTCAAAGTAAAACAGGAAACATGAGACATGAACCGGGGAGACGTAGTACAGGGGGAGGTGACATAACTGACAGCATGAACTTGACAGTACAAGACACACAGACATAAACACACGAAGGGCAAGGGAGACGTAATGCAAGGGTAACATAATTACAAAAAGGACTGGACTACCTAAGCAAACAATAAACATCAAAATAGGTTAAGCATAACACACTGGGTCACACGACCCAGGACCATGACATTGTCCTTTGCAAAATCAACTGCATCATGTCAGGAGTGAAGAAAAGGTCAAGACAGACAGCGTATCTCACAGACCCTCAGATCAAACATCGGGACATGACATGTCGACTCACTGTTAGGATGGGCAGGATCCTCTGAGTCCTCTCCATGTTCATGGGAAGTGTCAGAGGCGCTCACAGACGTGGAGCTCTCCGCTGAGCAGTATGCATTCTCCGTTTAAGCTTGTCTTATTCTGATGAGTCCTGCAGCTCCCTGACAGGTAAAGGCTGCATGACCTTCTCTAAACCCTCTTCTGCACTAAACTGTTTCTTCATTTTTTCTCCTTTTCTTTGCTGCAGGTCTTTCTTCTCTGCTCACTAATGAAATGACCCCTCAGCCAAGCTGCATGCTAGAGTGCAGCAAGGGCAGGAGGCCATGTCGCTGCTCGAGCGCCACTTCACAGCACATCGCTCCAAGATGACCTTTCTTCACCCCTGAAATGATCAGTGCATGTTTACACATTTACACAGCGTCACATGCACGCACACATGCACGCACACATGCACGCATCTTCTCACTAATTCAGACACGCGTCGATACAAGTCTGGTGGTCGCACGGCTCCATAATATAACTGGCAAAAATACAAGAATTTCCTGCATTGGCCTACAATGGGGAATCTGGTGGATTGCAGTAAAAATGTCAAATATCACTAGTTTTTGTTTTCAGAATGACATGCTGACATTACAGAATCTGTGGTTTTATACTGGAACAGCAGAGAGATTCAAACGTTTGGTTTCAATGGGGCAGTTTTGACCACAAAGGTGTTGAGAGGGAGTATCTGCTATTACACAAAAAATACTAATCCAATCATATCAGTTCGGTGGCTAATCTTTGACATGTCCAAGACTCTAATCACCACCAATGTGCCGTCCCTATACTATTTACTAAAATAACTAGTTTGAACGACGGCATTGTCGTTCAAACTAGTTAAGGCTTTTTGTAAAACCTCATTTCTTCTTTTCTTACCAAAACAGTGTGTAAGTGACTGCCGGGGGTGAGACTACACATTAAAATACCTCTGGCTGTTGGTGACTGTACATTCCCATGCAGCAACAGGAAATAAGGCTGCTGACCACATCGACGCATCAGGCAGTGCTGACGTGATGTTATGATTTGATAATATCTCTGAATGAGGGTGTCTGTTTTTACTATCTAGTTTTTCTGTTATGTTCAAGATATGCTGACAGAAAGCTTGCAGTTAAAAATAAAATAGCAGACTGAGTTCAGCATAATAATTAGAATCTTTGTGAGTAAGACCTGACAAATAGTTTGGAAAACGTGATAGAGTGTTACTACTACTGATAATAATACAATTATTATTATTAAGTGTGCCTATGCAATGGCACACTTATTGTCATTACTGTTGAAATGGAAAAGGAACAAAACCAGAACTATGTACAGAAAGGATACCCAAGATAGGAACTGAGAAGATCCGCTTTTTGCTCTTGTTTAGAGGAACTAACCGTTACGTGTGAACTTTGACAGATTGAACTGGGAAAGGCGTCTAACAAAAAGGCTGTTCAGTTGGATTTGGGGATTTCAGTCAGTGCCTGTGCTGGAGACCAAGTCAGGATAGGTTACGCTGCTCTCAGAGGGCTACATAAGGGTTAGGGTTAACCTTTCACCTGTCTAAATGTAAATGTAATGTGAGGAAATTAAAAACATGTTTATGCGACAATGAGCTGTTTTCCTAAATCCCACCATGTTTCTGGGTAATCCGGGCATGACAGAGGATAAAGATGACTTTTCCTTTCATGATGCTGCACATTCACACCGATGCTCTCCCCCCCCCTCTCTGCTTTTTCCAGCCCTCTGTGGTTTCAGTCTGCCTCTCCCTGCATTGTATGTTACCCACCATTCCTCTCCGCTCCCTCCGTGCACTCCTCTGCATAGCCTGGAGAGAGCCTGTCGGTTGACGACTCGATTCCGACCAATGACACGCCGTGTCTGTAAGGCGCAGGACCAGTTTCACCAATAACAGAAGGCACTGGGCGGGACATATATATAGAAAATCACTGGCGCTGGAGAGAGACAGACGCATCCGTGGAAAGGACCCGTGAGACGAGACAGGTACCAAAGGATCATTCTCGGCATGGACGTGTCAGAGTGACCAGCTGCAGACACTGTCGCTTCGTCCACCTGATCCACCACCGAGCATGTCTACTCCAGAAGAAGCCGGCCAGCGTGAGGAAGGGGAGTACGGAAGGGCGGCTAAACGGCTCAAAACAGAGGAGACGGAGGCGGATGAGAGAGAGGAGGGGGAAGAGGAGCTGGAGGAAGGAGAGGATTCGGACTCCGGATCGCTACCCGGTAACGGAGAGTCGGCGACAGACAATCGGGCCCGGTGGAGCGCGAGCCAATTCGGAGCAGGGCTGAGGGTAAGGAGAGCAAAAATGTTACCTAACGGTACCCTGCGGCACAGCATCACACACCGAGCCGGGCGAGCCGCGCGCATGTGCGCGCGCGCTGTCATGCAGTCTGTGCCAAGAGACATCTACCTGTCACACATATGTCGGCGCCGACATCACCGACACAGTGGAGCCTGAGCTATAAATCCAGGCCAATTTTTCAATGTGACGCCTGTGTTCATTCAGCCAAAGCAATTGTCCGATAAAATGTGTGTGGTGGTAAATGTGCAAAATGTCCCGTTTGACTTTTGATGTTGAATATTCGGTTCTTTCCACTCTATGGTGTCTGTTGTGTATTTGTGTATTTCCTTGCAATGCTGTGGTTTCCTCTCAGGTCACTGGCTTTTCAGTACAAATCATCGACTTGTTAACGTTTCCCACACGAAACTCAGAAGCCTAAATTTGGGTTTAACACAGATGTCCTGGTTTCTCTTTGGTTATTCACCCAGTGTCTCTTGTATCTGCTAATGTTGAGTCCATCTGATATTTACAGTGCCATGAAAAAGTATTTACCCCTTTGTTTCAAGTGATGCTGATAACTGGCAAGACATTCATTTCACGCTGAAGAATTTTGGCCCATTTTTCTTTGCACAGTTGTGTGAATTCAGACAAATTGGACGTTTTTCGAGTATGAATGGCCAATTTAAGCACCTTACTAACCCTAACTGTTATTGTGATTTGGCACCATATAAATAAAACTGAATGGAATTGTTTGTGGTCATGCTAAAGCCTCTCAATTGGATTTAAGTCTGGACTTTTCACTAGACCACTCAAAGTAGAGCTGGGCGATAGAACGATAACGATATGTATCGCGATATAACTTTTACTCGATAGAGAAATTAAGCTATCGCGATAGACCTCTTAAAAAAAAAAAAAAAAAAGACCAGCCAATCCAAATTAAGTAGCGCAGAGCCGAACCAATCACAGCCGCAGCGTCACGTCGCGTGACTTGTTACGTACAGCACAAGTGCCAAGCCGCACGTGTGTTTGTTTGGGAAGCAGCCAGCGGGTAATGGAGGAAATGAGTGTGCCGGCTAGAAAAATCAACCGAGCGTGACCGAAGAGAAAACAGATGATGGTTCCAATGCCGGAGAGATTGTCAAACGGAAGAGCCATAGAAGTTCCGTAGTGTGAAGGTATTTCGGCTATTTCAAGTCTGACAAAAACAGAGTAGCGTGCACTGTAAATTGTGCCAAAAGCAAGTCTGGAAATACATGCGTCACACTGTGCGCCACGTTATTGTTTCGGTGAAATGAATTTCTACAATACTGTTACTGTTAATTCTACTCTCTGCAGTGTTTAAATGCTTACATATACACACAGTTACTGTCCGTCCACACATACGACTCGGTTCTGCTTCTATGCCCCAGCTTTGTTTACTTTTTCCCACCGAGGCTTCTAGACTTCTGATTGGCCAACATTTCTGCACGGTTAGGAATCTAGCGCCACCTGCTGCTTTGGCATGTTCATAGCAGCGTTTTCCTTCATTTCTGCCTTTATGTGTGGACGGGATTATTTTTTAAAACGAAAACGGAAAATCTCCGTTTTCAAAAACACCCGTGTACGTGTGGACGTAGCCTCAGTCTCTGACTGGAAGCGCTAATTCGTCATTCGGCTTTTGTCAGACTAAAGTAACTGTTAAAACTGTTTGAAAAGCTAAGCTATACAACAAGGAGAGGTTGAGAATTTCCTTTTAGTTCTCAGTTTATTTGATATTGACAAAAGTTAGTCAGTTTTGTCTGTTCTTCTGTAAAACAAACTAAGATTTATTTTTAGAATTAATATTTTGTTTCTAAGTGGAATTGACAATTTAGTCTGTTTCGTTTGTTCTATTTTGAAACTTAAACGCTTTAGCGGCTGCCTTTTGTGTAGTTTGCAATATTTGTCTTTATTTATCTGAAAAAGTCTCATGTTCCTTAAGTACATCTACCCTGTTGAACTTATTATGGGAAATAAATATTTAAATAAAAACAAGCTGCTGATTATTTCACATTTTACTTGTGAGCAACGGCACATTTAAATCTTACAAATATAGTTATTTGGCTGATATCGTGATAGATATCGTTATCGCCTGAAATGAAAAAAACATATCGTGATATGAAGAAATCTCATATCGCCCAGCTCTAACTCAAAGCTTTATTATTATTATTTCTAAGCCATTTAAGGTGGAGTTTCTGATGTGTTTCAGATCATGCTGCATAACCAAAGTGCTCTTCATCATCAGGCCATGAACTGGAGCTGGAGATTCTCCTTCAGGATTTTCAGAGTAGAATCCATGATTCCAAGCAAAGCAGCCCCAGGCCATCACACTGTTACCTCAATGTTTGATTGTTGGTACGATGTTGTTGTTATAAAATGCTGGGGTAGTTTTATGCTAGCTGTAACGGGACACCAGCCTACCAAAAAGTCCTGCTTTTCTCTAATTAGTCCCCTGAAAACTTTCCCAAAGTCTTGGGGAGCAAGATGGGCTTTTGAATATGTGAGGATGAACCTTTGTTTTGGTTTTTTTATGGTCAGTATTGGTTTTCTGGTTGGTTTGGTTGGTTTTCTCTCCCAGTTTTTGCCCAGTTTCTTTCTTATGGTTGAGTCGTGAACACTGACACTGACTGAGTTGTTCGGATGTTGTTCTGGGTTCTTCTGTGACCTCCTGGATGATTTGGTGAGGGGCTCTTGGGGTCAGCCACTGTTGGGCAGGTTTTCTTGATAATAACTCTCACTGTGGTTCTTTGAAGAAATGGATTTGTAACATTTTCCTGACTAATAGATGTCATGACTTTTTTCTTATTTGTTCTCAAATTAATTTTAGATCGTGACATGATGTGTTGCTTTTTGATTGTTTAGCCTACCTCACATTGTCAAATTAGCTTTGTAGCTAATCAAATTTGAACTTAGCATTTCAAAATATATGGTTAAACAGTTAATTCAAAATGTAACATGGTAGGCCTGGTAGCTGGTAGGTTTGGATGGCTTTTCCCCTTTGGTAAATACAATCAGTATTTAAAATTGCATTTAGCATTTACTCAGGTTACTTTTGTCTAATAAAATATTTTTTTTATCTAAAGCATTTGATGATAAATATGCAGGAAATAAGACATCGGGTAGGGTACAAACCTTTCCAGTACATGGCCACGGTCACCACATCACGCAACATTTCATGACCACGTGAACATCATTTATTAAGTTCTACTATCCCAGTCTCCACCTTTGCCTTCATGATTGTTTTGATCTGGTGCATTATAAGTAAAAACCAAATGAAACTGAATTGACTTCCAGTATTTGAGCTGGGTAGGTGCCTCGTGCCTTAACTTGATCAAATCTGATTTGAAGACTTGCTCTCGCCAGCGTACAAGTTTGCAGATTCTGTGTTTACTTACAGTTGGCTGTGTGTCCTCGTCCATCAACAATAATAAATACCTGCAGTATCACACACCGTGCAGGAAATTAAAAATTAATATGCACAAATACATATGTGCCACAACTGCAGTACCTTTATTGAGGCTGGGTCGGTCAGGGTCGGATCCTGAATCTGGCAGGAAATGTTCTTCTACAAGTTACACAGACTTCAGGTTTTATAAAGTGACAAGACAACATTTTAAGACCATTTCCAATAACTATATTTCTGATGACACAGTATTACAAAAATATTGTATGCTTTGTCAACGCTTGCAGGCAGTAAATGAACTGCTCCTTCCTTTTCATATGAAATGCATACATAGAGTGCTTGTTTACTCAGAATTATTTTGGCATATTGCACATAACAGGCTGTACCTATATCAGCACATCACTCATTGCCTCATCACTGCTGTATGTTTTTGATCTGCTACATTGCACTGTTCTTTGTATCACCATTTACAAGTCGGTCCATTATTGTTGAATTTTGCACTTACATCTGTATTGAGACTGATAATTTGGCCTCCGCAGTAAGTCTGGCCTTTGATGTATCTGCTGATTGAGGAGCCAGCGTTGCAGCAGTATCTTCTGTGAGATTGTGATGAAGCCAGATTATATTAGTTTCTCTCCTATTTGAAACATTATATTTGTAAGGAAGCTGTTGCTAAGGAAGACTTGACTTTGCTATATTTGTAGTTGAAATGTATTTAAAATTCAAGCAGATATACTTTTTAACATCAGTTCAGTCACTAGTCATGTCAGTGAGTAATAGTGTTAAATAACTATAATGCCATTATTGACCAAACCTTTTTTAATAATTGAATAACTCTAGCTTTTATCATTTCATGTAAATCTCATTGTTGCAAGCCTAGTTTTTAAAATGTTAAAAAACAAAACAAACAAACATTTTTCTGCATTAGCTGTGTGTCGGCTAAAGGACTCCCAGCAAGCTGACAAATGTTATTAAAGTGGGTCTGTGGTCTGCTGACTGTGTGGGCTGGGTAGCTGGGTTAGAAGAATGCAGCTCTCTGCTGAGATAAATAACCAACAGAGTAAATAGAGAAGTGAGAAGGGCTTTTTTTAATTGGGTAGAAGGATGTAATGTATATGACTGTTTCCTTTCTCGTTGTCTCACCATTACAGCGTCCGGGGGTATTAGAGTGGAACATTCACACACACGCATTCTGGGTTCTGAGTGAAGGTGGGATCACCTTGCATGTAATCAGCATTACATGCTTGTAGTCTAGTTTCCGAATACTTAGGTATGCATGCACGTACACGGTTACACATACGTCATTTCATCATTAGAGGGTGATTAAGAAAATGGATGCGCTGCTACTGTGTGTTGCTTCAGCCATTAATTAGAGTCAGAACAGAGCACATGTATACAGTTGAAAGTCTAAAAATAGGATCCCAGTAAAAGAAACAATAAATGAAATAAGAACAAGATTAAACGCATATATATACATACACACACACACAAAAGAAGCGCGTATTCTCGGAAAAGTGGTTGCAGGTGAGCTGGCTTCAAACAAATGATGAACGCACAGAGATGTGGTGCAGAATGTGCCGTGAAAATC